GGATTGGCTATGGGTAATCCTCTCAGTCCGGTACTTGCTGACATTTATATGCACTATTTTGAGATGAAATTATTTGATAAATTATCTTTTCGTCTTTGGATTCGGTATGTTGACGACACTTTCGCACTTTTTGACGGTTATAAAGAGGATTTATCCGAGATTCTATCTATTATGAATTCAATTGATCCAGCCATCCAATTCACTCTTGAAATTGAATCCAACAATTCCCTCCCCTTCCTCGATATTCTTATAATCCGCAATGAAACCGATTTTAGCACCACTGTGTACCGTAAACCCTTTGCAGTTTGTTTACCACCCCATGCCAAGTCATGCCACCCTGTTAAGCAAAAAATGGCTTCTTTTTACTATTATGTTTTCCGCGCGCTAAAAGTTTGTTCCTCTGAATCTTTGCTTACCAATGAACTTAATTATTTGAGAGCAGTTGCGATTGACCGTGGATTTTCTCCCGTGATTATTGATAAAGCCGTCAAAAAAAATTTTCAGATTCCCATCAAAGAAGACATTCCACTGTTAGAAATAATATTAATGACCTTGTCGTGCTTCCATTTTATCCTTCTGTTAGCTATAAAATTGCACGGATTCTCCAGAAATTCAATTTTCAAGTCGGTTTCTCCCCCTATTAATAAAATTCACCCCTTCGATTCTAAAAGATTGCGTTTCTGTCTTGAATTCTTGGGGAATTTATAGTATATCATGTCAGTGTGGTTTAAGATATATTGGCCAAACAAAAAGAGCGTTGAAGTTTCGTATCAAGGAACATGAATCTTATGTCAAAAAAGGCGAAATTAACAAGTCTTCAATAGCGTATCATAGCTGGACTTTTAACCATAATTTTGATTTTGGGTCTGCAAAAATCATCCAAAAGGCTTCTTCCATAGGCGAATTGGATTTTCTTGAGGCTTTTCACATTCACAAAGATTTAGAAAGTTTAGTTAATGATTTGAAGTCCAATCCAGTCCTTCCTAATGCCTTTAAAATTCTACTATCTTAATTCAATTATTTTTGCCGATAGATGGCGTTACCTCCTCGCGCTTGGTACTACCAGAGGGTATAAAAATCCGTTCAGTGGTTGCTTTCCATTATTTGAAGTTCAGATTTTGAGCGTAAGGTGCATTTGCCCCTCGCTCCCTATTTTAACTTCGCTAATATTTCTTTATGCTTGATCAGACAGCCTGGCTCAGTAAAAGTAGGCGGCCAGTGCAACTCTGATTAAAAATCTAGTTATAACCACGTGCAGTGCTGATAAGGACCACGTGTTTCTGTGACTCCTTCTCCTATTTTCTTCTTTCTATGTATTTCTTTCTCCTGATGAGGAGGGACCTTTAGCTGCCCTCGAAATCGATTGAGTGTTTCATTATACCTACGCTAAATATAAGGTTGTTTTTTTACGATTTTGATTGTCACATTAGCGTGTTTCTCTTCTAGTCTAGTTAGTTTGTGCTATCAACCGGCATTTTCGAGAATATTTTACTGTTTATTGTTTTACCACGTGCACCATTTTATTTACTTCTTTCCACGTGGCCATCATTTTTTTTCGGATTTGGTTTATGCTATCAACCGGCATTTTCGAGGTAATTCTATTTTTTTTTTTTTTTTTTTCGGTTTACCACGTGCACGATTTTGACTTTCGTTGCTTCTTTCCACGTGGCTATTGGTTTTTCAGTATTGGATGTTTCTCTCCTTTTGGAATGTTTTTGTCATTTGTTGATGAAAATTGTCTTCATTATTTATTGGTGTTTTTTTTTCATGTTATAAGTAATTACTTGTTTGGACTTTCGGAATTACATTTCTTTTGTTCACTTGTTTCTTGCTTGTGCCCTTTTCACAATATGTCCACTGACAGGAACCGATTTTGTAAGTTACGCCTTAAGCGTACGAAATTCTTGAATCATCTACAGTTTCTACTTAAATGCAAACATCAAAATTTCATTCCCAAATTTATACATGTGAAATGTAGCCTTAAAGCTTCCGTTCACGTTTCAAAAATTTTGCATAAATTCAAATTGGCACTTCTTCGTCACATTATAAGGGACACACGCAAACGTTTATCTAAAATTGAATTTGAATTATATTACCTCCATTTAAAAATTGCTAATTCCACTGAAAATTTTTCCTCATTTGAACATACATCCTGGTCTAGAACCGATACCGTTTGTCAACGGCATAAAAATGTGCTCATTTCTAAATTCCTAAAACTCACACACCAGTCGGATAGTCCCAATTATCTAGCTGATCTTCCCACTGTAAACGTTAACTCCATCGTTAATATCTCCAATAGGAATCTTTCGGAGGATCAGTTAAAAGTATTAAAATATAATTTCAACTTTTCAAAGACATCTAAACCTTCAATTCCTCAAATCATCGCCCCTATAGAGAAAGCCTTTAAATTCTCCAAAATTTCGGAAACGCAGAAGGATACAATCCGCCACCTAATTACTCATAACGTTAATTTTAACAATAAATCTTTGGGTTCTAATCTTAGCAAAAAGGAAAATGAGATCTTACGTGAAATTCATTCTGATACTAATATCATTATCTCTAAAGCTGATAAGGGCGGACAGATCGTTGTTATGGACAAACACACATATATTACTGGAGTCTCTAAATTGATAAATGAAGGCCCATACTGCTCGATCCCTAAAGATCCTTCAACTTCGGACCTCATGAAAGTAAAAAGTGCTATTAAATCTTCCCACATTCTGCCAACTCAGTTGAAGAAATCACTTATTCCGCCTATTACTAATTGCGCTAGACTTTATGCTCTTCCAAAAGTCCACAAAACCGGTATTCCTTTTCGACCAATTGTTTCCAACATAGGTACTGCTTCATATCCTTTGGCCAAATATTTAGTTTCCAGATTTTCTCCTCTACTTGCTAACAATATTCACACTGTAAAAAATTCTGTTGAAGTCATTGATAAACTTAAAAATATTTCCCCACTTCGTTCCATTATGGTTTCATTTGATGTCAAATCATTGTTTACTAATGTTCCGGTCGAAGGAGCACTAAATTGTCTTGAAACTAGGCTTCGGGAATTTCACTTCACACATACTGAAATTAATGAGTTGGTTTCGCTTACTAAAGTTTCTCTAAGTCAAACCCACTTTGTTTTCCAAAATGCATATTTTCGTCAAGTTGAAGGATTGGCTATGGGTAATCCTCTCAGTCCGGTACTTGCTGACATTTATATGCACTATTTTGAGATGAAATTATTTGATAAATTATCTTTTCGTCTTTGGATTCGGTATGTTGACGACACTTTCGCACTTTTTGACGGTTATAAAGAGGATTTATCCGAGATTCTATCTATTATGAATTCAATTGATCCAGCCATCCAATTCACTCTTGAAATTGAATCCAACAATTCCCTCCCCTTCCTCGATATTCTTATAATCCGCAATGAAACCGATTTTAGCACCACTGTGTACCGTAAACCCTTTGCAGTTTGTTTACCACCCCATGCCAAGTCATGCCACCCTGTTAAGCAAAAAATGGCTTCTTTTTACTATTATGTTTTCCGCGCGCTAAAAGTTTGTTCCTCTGAATCTTTGCTTACCAATGAACTTAATTATTTGAGAGCAGTTGCGATTGACCGTGGATTTTCTCCCGTGATTATTGATAAAGCCGTCAAAAAAAATTTTCAGATTCCCATCAAAGAAGACATTCCACTGTTAGAAATAATATTAATGACCTTGTCGTGCTTCCATTTTATCCTTCTGTTAGCTATAAAATTGCACGGATTCTCCAGAAATTCAATTTTCAAGTCGGTTTCTCCCCTATTAATAAAATTCACCCTTCGATTCTAAAAGATTGCGTTTCTGTCTTGAATTCTTGGGGAATTTATAGTATATCATGTCAGTGTGGTTTAAGATATATTGGCCAAACAAAAAGAGCGTTGAAGTTTCGTATCAAGGAACATGAATCTTATGTCAAAAAAGGCGAAATTAACAAGTCTTCAATAGCGTATCATAGCTGGACTTTTAACCATAATTTTGATTTTGGGTCTGCAAAAATCATCCAAAAGGCTTCTTCCATAGGCGAATTGGATTTTCTTGAGGCTTTTCACATTCACAAAGATTTAGAAAGTTTAGTTAATGATTTGAAGTCCAATCCAGTCCTTCCTAATGCCTTTAAAATTCTACTATCTTAATTCAATTATTTTTGCCGATAGATGGCGTTACCTCCTCGCGCTTGGTACTACCAGAGGGTATAAAAATCCGTTCAGTGGTTGCTTTCCATTATTTGAAGTTCAGATTTTGAGCGTAAGGTGCATTTGCCCCTCGCTCCCTATTTTAACTTCGCTAATATTTCTTTATGCTTGATCAGACAGCCTGGCTCAGTAAAAGTAGGCGGCCAGTGCAACTCTGATTAAAAATCTAGTTATAACCACGTGCAGTGCTGATAAGCACCACGTGTTTCTGTGACTCCTTCTCCTATTTTCTTCTTTCTATGTATTTCTTTCTCCTGATGAGGAGGGACCTTTAGCTGCCCTCGAAATCGATTGAGTGTTTCATTATACCTACGCTAAATATAAGGTTGTTTTTTACGATTTTGATTGTCACATTAGCGTGTTTCTCTTCTAGCCTATCTAAAGAATGTTCGATGCTGAATTTAAATAAATTACTGGATATTTGCAACATCAAGGCTCTCAGTTTTTCTACCTTCCATTGATGCTCAAGTAAGTTCCATTGAGGCTCGAGTATGTTAGGGTTCCGATATTTGTTAAGAATTTTTTCAGTGGAATAACCATCTGTATCTCGAAACATTAGTTTAATATTTTAGAAATGCAGTAAATAATTTCTCAAGTAAATGATGAATATTAATAATTGTTCAGCATTTTCATATTATTTCTAATGTTTAGCAAAATTATCTATCTGTTAACTATTATTTGCCGTTGCATAGTTTTTCTTAAAATATAAATATCTAGGACATAATAGGAGCTGTTAATTATTTTCTTATCATCCAGGAATATTTTTCAGGCATCGCATGAAGAGGAAGTTTCAGACAGAGAGGACGACATCCCTTATGATGCTGACAGAGGGCCTGTTCTACCAATACCTCCTTCAATATGTCCTCAGTTTACGAAACACAGAATTGAGGTAGACAAGTATAATGTAATTTTGTTTCTCTGCTGAGATAATTTTCTTTGAAAAATACAGAAATTGAAGTTGTGTGTGTGTGTGTGTGTAATTAAAAATATTTAAAAAAATTGTTACAGTATTTTTACACTCGTTTTATCTGTTTAAACAATATTCTACGTGATTTGAACGCATAATTATTAAAAATGTACTAAAGTTATAAAATTATCTGAGCAACAACCTTGTGTTTGGAATAAATTTAGTCAAGAACTCAATAGATTTCGAGGGCAAACAACTACAGGTTCCTCTTCCCCATGAGCTCTGGTTTGATACTAAAATTAATTATGTTAACACTAAACCTATAATTAGAAGAAAAACGATATTTTAAAAGTTACTAAAAGAAATATTAGATATCTTGAGAATAGCCCCGAAATGTATATATTGATCAAGTTGGAAGAGAAACGCGACGATAAAAAATTTAAAATTTAGGTAAAACAGCAACTTTGTTTGGCTAGAGTTTGAATAAAAATCGATTTTGAAGAAGATCAGACACAAGTCCCTCTTCTTCAGAAGCAGTGCTTTTTTTCCTCCTGAAGAAGAGAGACCTGCGTCTGAATGCACTCGAAATCGGTAGAATTTATTCAGAATCTACATAAAACTAATGCTGATTTTTACCTAATTTTAAAATTTATATTGGCATGTTTCTCTTCTATTTCAACAATATCTGTCATCATATCTCTAACAATATGCAAAGTATTATTTGGGCCTTCTGTCTTTAAGCAGAAAGCTTAGAAAATTGCTCTGATGCAAAAATTAAGAGTGATTTTCAGGCATTTTTAAGCTTTGGCCACTACTAAGGTCAGAAGTTGTGGCCATTTTATCACAGAGTCACCTAACAGACGACCACCGTTACCTCCTATGAGGGGAGAGACAATTTACATCCATACTTTCTCCGGGATTCGAGCCCGGGGCCTTTCGGTATAGCAGTCAGCTCCCTTAATCACTATACAATCTGGGTGGTAACTGTGGTTTAATTCTGTCAATTAATATTGAAATAGTAATCTCGTACTGACTTTCCTTTGTAGGTATTGTTCTGGGGTCTCCGTGAGTTGAAGCGGGTGAATTTAAAAAGCCTTCAGCAACCACGAGTGGAAGTGGAATGCGCTGGCCACAGTGTGCAGTCGAGCGTTATAACAAATTATAAGAATCATTCAAATTTTATAAATGTGATACAGAAAATGGATATGGTAAGATTTGTCGTGTTTTATAAAACTGAATTTTTAACGATGCATTTTTTTAATTTTTTTTTTTTATTTTTTTATTTTTTTTTGTTAGGCAGCATGGTATCTAAAATATACGCATGTTTTTATATATACATATTACACTTTTTTCCCTTCACTAATTTATGAATATTTTTGGGGCCGTGCTGACCTAGGGTTGGGCAGAATGCCTTGCGATGACCAAACACCATCTAATAACTTGACGGTAAGCATTTTAACTCAATTTCGATGTCTTGTTACAGTATAATATCCGAAATTCGGACGTTCACTATCCGAAACTCTGAACCAAAGTAATGTGTGATCAACGTATGCGCCTTTGATATTTTTTTATGATAAAACGTATAGAGTCCAGATTATTAATTTTATTTCGGCAGTAAATACCTTGATACTGAAGAAACAATCAGTTATTGGTATAAATCTGCGTGATCAGTAATTAGGCTCCGTAGCCGCTTTTTTGCTCGGCATACATCTCAAACTGAAACATTTTATATCACGATATCGCCGATTTTACTCCTATTGAATAATTTATATACCTGACGCCAACCTGGCGAATCATTATTTATTACTTTTTGCTTTTATTACTGCATGACGATCAACACAGGGCAGCTTGACTCACGCAGCGATTTCTAAACATTTTTTTACAATGATGATTAAATACAAAAGAGGATGGTAACTTTTTATTATTTATGTTGACATTACACTTGGCGATTATAACAGAATTTAGCTGACTACTCTGCGAAGTGATGAGGGTGCTGACAGCGAGAAATTAAACAGAAATTTCTTTCCATATAGAAAAATTAGGTTTTGTAAGTAATACTCATAGACCAAAAGATTACATTTAGTGCTGCTGACAATGTCTGATTTTTTTATATAGATAGGCTCACCAGAGCACCAGAGCTGATGCGGCCTCGGAAGGAAGAATTTAGGAAGGCAACATTTTTAGGATTTAGAGTAACAAAATTAAGGGATAGCAAAATCTTTAGAATTTAGGAAAGGCACTGGGACGCAAAAGCTAGGGGCGGTAAAATTTTAGAATTTAGGAAGGCACTTGCCGCAGAATTTAGGACATGCAGAGCCTGAACCTGGCCGCAGAATATCTAGCGCCGTCCCTGCATAAGCCTTAAGTATATGATATTATATGATACCCAAAATTTTCCGCGATAAATCAAGTAGATGTAACAATTTATTTTACTAGGGACTCATATAAGCGAAAATAATCAAAATCGTATAAACAACCTTGTATTTAGCGTAAGTATATTGAAACACTCAATCGATTTCGAGGACAGCTAAAGGTCCCTCCTCATCAGGAGAAAGAAATACCTAGAAAGAAGAAAAATAAAGGGGAAGGAGTCTCAGAAACACGTGGTCCTTATCAGCACTGCACGTGGTTACAACCAGATTTTAATCAGAGTTACAATCGCCGCCTACTTTTACTGAGCCAAGCTATCTGATCAAACATGTAACACAAAGGACAAGAAAAATTAGCGAAGTTAAAAATAGGGAGCGAGGGGCAACTGCACCTTCACGCTCAAAATCTGAACTTGGAATAATGGAAAGCAACCACTGAACGAAAAAAAAAATCCGTTCAGTGGTTGCTCTCCATTATTCGAATTATTGAGTGTTTCAATATACTTACGTTAAATACAAGGTTGTTTTTACGATTTTGATTGTCACATTAGCGTGTTTCTCTTCTAGTCTAAGCGAAAATAATCATAAATGTAATAAATAACTAATGTAATTCAGGCTTAATTTCGTCAGCGTGTGACAAAAGCAAGAAACTAAATCTAATGTGGACACCACGTAACTTCTTTGTATGGCCTATTAAATTACACACGTTTTTGCTGCATTTCATTTAAGCTTATTTCCTCGAATTTCATTATAGATATATTTCTCATTTAATTCATTTCTGACTTCGCAGCAAAGCAAAAATACATAAAACTTCAAAACATCTTCATTAAAAATAGTAAAATACAGAATAACATAAAACACCAAACACATTTAAAAAGTAAAAAAAATTGCAATTAAAATTAGAGATTAGCAAAAATAAGCCATTCGGTCAGCGGGTAAGAAGGCAGACTTTTCGGTGCGTAAAACTGAAAGTTTATTTTTGGTCCCACTTGGCTAATGTCTTTTTGCCAAGTTGTAGAAACTGAAATTACGATTCTACTGAGTTCCAAATGTAAACAAATGTCGGTTCGTTAGACTTAACTCGCCACTTAAACTTTTAAATCGTTGATAGTTCTACAACTATTGCATCAGATAAACTAAAGTCATAAAAACCTTAACCGGAACATGAAAACCGCATAATTTAATCACTTTTAAAGCAAAAAGTACACAATTTACCAACATATAAGAATAAATAACTAAGCTCATGGAACCAGGTAACAGAGTGGGAATATATATATATATATATATACACGATTGGTGCAGCCGGATTGCTACGAAAAAGGAAGGAGCACAACTGCATGTATAGCAGTCCCACATACAAAATTTCAAACTTCTTGAGTTATACGAGATACATACATACTTACGTACGTATATACGTCAAGAAAAAATTTCTTTTGAGTCCATTTTAAATCCAATTTACGATGTTTTTTGGGAAAAACAATTCATTATTCTGTCCGCACGTACAGATATCGCACAAAATATCGTTCTAATGGTTTCGAGAGCGGTTGAAATGGATATTTTCGTTGAAATATGGTACACAAAATTTTTCGTGATTACAATAGTTCCTTTACTTTGTGCAAAGAAGTAAAAATTACCGGAACAACAATGTTTTTAGTTGTCAGGCTCGTGGTACATTTCTAATAGTGTGTGTCGTGTAGCGGATGCTAGCTAAGCTTTATGATGATAGCTGTGAATTTGAAAGTTTTCAGATACCGAAAGAAATGGCGAAGTTTTTAGATTAATGGAAGAAGTGATAATAAATGAAGATGATACAACAGAATTCTTACATTGCGATGACAATGTCCCGATGATCAATCAACTAACGGACGTCAAAATTTGTAATATGGTTCTAAATCCAGAAAATATAGGTACCGATTGTGAAGAAAACGAGAGAAAGGTTGGCGAGAATGATCAAATTTCAATTTACAATTTAGTGAGAAATCTCGACATGGCAATTATAGGCCTTGAGAAATAGAACTTTGTAACTGAACAAGAAAATATGCTTGCATGTAGAATTAAAGTATTAGCACATAAAACGAAGCAGTATAAACAACTTGCATTGAAAAAAATGTTTAATAAAGCATACAAATAAATATCGAGATTTTTTTTGTAAATCTTGACTATCTTAAGGTCATAAATGCTTAATTATTTCATATTTTTCATTTTATAATTTCTACATAGAATCTTACTAGATTTAAACTGATGATCTAATATCCGAAAAAATCTTAAATCCAGAAGTTTCCAAGAATCCCAGATCTCGGATTTTGTACAGTGTCTTCTTTTTGGACTAATAATTCCAAGCTGAAAATTTATATGCCTTGGCTTCTTGCTGTGCTAAGTTACGCTTTTCCTCAAGGGTGTAGAAAATATTGAAACCGAAAGAAAGGGTTAATTATGTCGATGCAGATATTATTAAAAAATCTTGTAGTGCGATGATGAGTACCAAGATTGACAATATTATTTAGATACACTGAGATTTCATTTCTAGGATCTACCTGATCAAGAAGAACATTTTCCATCTTTCGGAATAAAACTTGTTGAATGCAAAGGCTTTGGACGCCTGACCGTAGTTGCAACCCATATCGTACAGTCTTTTCAGAAATATGTCTACAGACCATTTGGTAAATAATGCTTACTTATTATTTTTTAAATTAAACTCAAACTAGATTTGTAAACAGTAGTTAAAAATAAAAAAATTCAAATTTTTGCTTGATAGATTAATTGAATAAGAATGGTACATTTCTTGTGATGTATATTTATTTATATTTTTTAATTACATATTCTTTCTGTACAGAACATGAGCCTTCGCTAGAAAGTATAGATTACATCGCATTGAATGTCGATGGTGATAATGCTAGTGATAACGCCGCTGCCTTTGTGGTGCAAAAAATTGTAAGTAATGCTTCGATGAGATAGATTTTCTCTTAAAGAAAACTAATTGAAGTAGAATTTAACTAAAAAATAAATTCTGATCTTTACAATTAGTTCTTTTAATACAAAAAATAAACTAGCTTTTTCTTATTGCGGATATTAAATTATTTCCTTTTTTGAGAAACTCGAGCGAAAGGAATGTGTTTAGCAATAGTTCTCTCTATGCGTAAGAGGCCTTTCAAAAAGTATTTTTCTTAATGCAAATAGAGTGCATGTTCAATGGCATACTTACCTATCACTAAATATTATATTGGATTATTTGATGGTAGCAAAGCCGGCAGGGCTAAAGGCTTAAAGGAAGAGATGCGAAGACTGGAAATACGTTTCGAGGTTTGCCTCCTGTAAGTGTATTTGCTCAAATACATGCAGCCAGCCCATTTGAGCCATCCATCCTATGGTGCTAACAAAGTTTTGCGGTTTATTCATTCAAACACTTACATTTTAAGAATAAGTAAATAATAGAAATCCCATAGAAACGAAAAAGAGTATAATTATTTATCCGAAATCGTATTACATACAAAATTGGGTATATCATTGGGCTGAACTGTTAATTATAGCATCATATATCGGTTAAAATACTGATGTATGACAAGTCAGCCATGCATGGGTTAAAATGTAATATTAATCATATATCATATTACATATAGTAAGAATAATTTGTAATGTATCTCAGCACTTTTGATCGAACCAATGGTTTAAATGATTTATTTTAACTATTTATTTTTGATTGAAAGGCAAAATCAAAGGCAGTTTTAATTGAAACATGGTCCAGGGTAATTAAAACGGATCTTTTAGCATGGGATCAACTAATTAAAGAATGCTTTATTCTGTTATAAATGGAATTTTGTAGAATTTCAAGCAGTTTTATCTATCATTTATTTGATGATCAAAGGTTGGAAAACCGACCCTGAAACTTAATATGTAATAATTAAGTCAGAATATTGGCAAGAATTTTAAAAATAGGGGTTGTGAGAAAATTTTTGGGAGACGCTGTGATTTTGAAATTTTACTTTTCATGATGATAAAATAACTAAAGCTTTTATCTATGATAAGTTATACTGCACTACTATACTGTATCGCCACGATTTTCTTTGTTACAATACTGTAATGTCTTTCCTTCATTCTTTTAATTCAGATTTTGCTTATGTGTGTATAGTAAAAAATATATAAATGCTAACTTTTAATTTGCAATAATCTCTTAGCATTCTAATTTAATTTGGATATCTCCCGCTGCCGTCTCAGAAATAGCAACTGCTTATAATAAACATTCTAAACTACGTTACCTTCAAGCGCGAAACCTAAATGAAAAGTTGTAGAATTAAAGAGCACTGATTTTTTGTTAAGTAATATTTCTTACCTACAGTATTCTCCATGGAAGAAGCTTGAAAGAAGTCCATCCGAAATCGGAGGGGAAATGGAAGGAAAAGATTGGTGGTCGCGGTATTATATTTCTACTGGATATAGACTTGAGGTTCGTACTCTGATATTTTACCTATAGTATATATATCAAACACTTTGATTTAACGGGAAATTAATAACTTTGTATGTGTAACTATATATTTAAAGATACATTATTGAATTTTATTGATGGTTACATAATGTTAATAATACAACTAACTTGATAGCTCTCCTATTTGCAAAATTTTTAATGAGTACAAAATTTATTAATGTAAAATATTTAAATAATGTTATGCTTATTAATGTAAATATAACTGATATTCTTTTTTCATATATAGCAAAACTAAGAATTAATCATGGAATTACAAATTCATAGTAATTGTCATTCAAATATTTAACGGTGATTGCAAAAGAAAGTTAAAAAGAGTTTTGTAATATTACTGAGGTTGCTTATTTTCAAGATGCTGCTCATTTGCTAGAGTCGGCATAAAAAGTGTTTTCCTTTTCAAATTATATTTTTAAATGTATTTTTTTTATGTATTATTAAATGAATATATATATATATATATATATTAAAAAGTTTCATAAGAATAAAATGAATTTAATTAAAAAAATTAAATTTAAATATATATTTAATTAAATATTCTTTGCGCCATTGCTGCAAGGAAAGAAATTTAAATTTAAACAAATTTAAATTCTTAACAAATACGTATAAAAGTAAAAAAGCAAATTTAAATTCTAAAAAAAAACCAACATAATTAAAATAATTTAAAAAAATGTGCAAACGTGTAAAAGATTTAATTCTCGAACTAATCTACAATATCATTTAAATTCAGAAGCATAAGCAAATCAAGTGCAATATCTATCCATGAAAATAAATCTACTAATTTAATAAATTAAAATTAAATTAAACAATTTTTTTAAAAAATGCATATGTGAATGACCGTAGAGTAGGCAGGAGACAGACTTATCAAGGGGAAGTTGCCTCCAAACCTATCTCCCCTATCATTCAATTCGTGTTTCGTCATTCATGCAGGCAAGGGTAAAAGTCAAAACCAAAAGTAATTCCAATAAAGTGGTACCCTTATAAATTAACATTTAAGTATTAACATTTAAGAATTAAAGTTCAAAAAGGAAAATACTAATGAAGTCTTTTGAGAAACAAGCAAGTAAAGTCAAGAATTAAACTTTTTCTAAAAAATTTAAATTTTTTTAAAAAATTAATTTTTTATAAAATAATAAAAAAAATCTAGAAACCAATGTATTTTAGAAAATCCTTGTCTACAGAAACTTCCCCTACACGAATATGCATATCAATAAAAAGAAACTATAAAAGAACTATACATAATCCATATAATCCAATAAGAAACAAAAAGAACTAATTCACAATTTTTAAAAAACAAATATATTTAAAAATATAATTTCATATTTAGAAAATACTTAGATACTACATAAAAAAATTTTTAAAAAATACTTAAAGCGAGTAAATAGTAAGTTTTAATTCTAACTTACCTACTATATGAGTGTTGGGGTCTGCAAATGTGTTGTGAAAGAGAAGTAAGTGTGTTCTTCAAATTATATAGATACGAACTCCAATATAGTTTTGACAGAAGTCATTGCTATCTCGGGACTGACGCAATTGTCATTATCTTCTTCGCTAATATTTTCAGTATCACTATCTGCCTCTTCTGTACTTGTGATGTTGAAATAATATCCACAGTTCTCAAGCCTTGAAAGCAGTTAAATCGCCATCGAATCATTCCTCGATGTTTTCTCGATCACATTCTCGTAGAACTTTATAGTTTCAGTTTTCTTTCTTTTTTTAGTCCAAAGGGGCAATTTGCCCTGAAGAACTATTAATTTCGTTTTGGCATTTTGTTTTGAAAACTATAAACAGCGAATCACTTTTCAAATTGTTGCGACCAAATGAATTATATTTAAAGAAATTAAATAATGAAGAATCTGCATGAATGTATGTAAACGAATATAGAGAATAACGAATTCCATAGAGGGCATGCGGAAGCCCTAATTTGAATTTGAAACTTGTTTTATTATATCTATTTCATGTTTTTCAATACTTCAACGAATTTTTGATTAAAAAACTAAACGATTTCAAAGTAAGCAATGGCAACACTGTACGAAAAAAAATATTTTTATCTCCAGCTCGCGAGCTCTGTATCGAAAATTCTAAAGATATGCTCATTTAAAAATTATTTTGCCCTATTGCTGTTGAACTGAATTTTATGGTTTGAGTTCGTATAATGTGATGTTTAATAAATTAATGTAACACACAAAACGTTAAAAAAATCCCTTTGGACATTTAAAATCTGAAATCTATCAGTTTTTTTTCTTTGCAGACATCTGTAGAGACATTAGGTAGCAGGAGGATTTAAAGCAGAAGACGTGAAAAAATGAGCAATGCCCTCTCCGGGACTCGAACCACGGACTTCTCGAATACGCATCGAGCGTGCTGACCAGTACATACCACGAAAGCATGCTAAGAAGGCGGGGGAAATACCTTATGCAACTTCAGTTATTTTTTCGACTTCTTCGCAATTACATAAATCTCCACCATGCACATGCAGAACAAATTGTATGTGTAATCTTGAAATTAAACCTAAAGATGAAAGTCAGCGTGTATTAAAGCATGCTCGAACTTGCGTGTGTTTGTTTTTTAAACACTTTCGTGCGTAGGGGTGAGTGTGCGAACGTGGGTACCGCCACGCTCGGATAATCCTGGAAATGGATAATCCACACTCGAATTATCGAGAATATATTATAATTTGATAATGACATCGAGAGAACTTCATTTTGATATAACGGACATTGCCTCACTCTATAAGCTAAACTTTGATATACAACGCGGAGACAGCTTTACTTTGATATGTACAGATAGAAATTGCATCACTTATAAATTACACTTTAATAAAAAGCACACTCTGGATACATGTTTTTCAGAGTAAATATAGTTCCAAATTTTAGCTGGGATTGTTATACGATTTTTGGAATTAGAAACTGGATTCTGCGTTATAAAATAAGGGTGTTATGAAAATGAAAAACAAATATATCATTTGTTATAAACGTGACATATTTATAAGAAGAAAAAGAGCTTATAGGGCAGAAAAATCATTCATATAGTGGCAGTATTAGAGTGCTCATTTAAAATAGCTCATGGTGAAATTTCTGACGGAGACTACTTCGTAAGACAATTACTTCTGGAAGTAACAAGAATTTCTGAAAATTTAATTAAAATATTTTTTTTAACATAACTGACATTTTTTTGTTTTCTAAATCTATCACCTTCATAGAAGACTAAATTTATCGAAACATATTCAGCCACTTTATCCATATTTCATTGAATTTAATAAATTCAAGTTTGAAATAAAATTATTTTTTAATCAAATGTTCCTTTTATAACAAATCCTCTTTCTTAAAAATTTTACCAAAAATCATACATAGCTTCTGTAGTTACATTATATCCAAATCAAAGAGATAAAAATTGTTTTCCTCTTTTATTAATTTGTGAATTAACAAAGCGATAACTAGACTCCAGGTTATCCTTTCCTTTTAAGAGATGGTGATTTAAAATCATAAATATAAAGCAGCGAAATTTCTTTTGCAATCCTAAAAAGGGTTTATTAAAGGAAGTAACCGAGAGTTGATTTAGGATCAGATTTTTACTTCCTTGTACGAAGTATAGTAATAGCGAAAAATTTCGACTATCATATTTCAACGGAAATATCAATTTTCACTGTTCCCGAATCCATTTGGATAATTTTTTGCTTGACGTTTGCTACGGACAGAATAAAGGATTCTCTTTTAAGAAAATGGATTTATTTCACGCAATTCAAAAACGAGTAGCAGTACAACGTTGAAATTTTGTGTAAGGGAATTTATCTGATTGTGCACCTCTTTTTTTCTTTGCAATACTGAGTTTGTCTTTTGTTTGTTTAAGTAAAAAGTATAGGAAAAGGGAAAAAAATAATCAACATTTTTTAACCTTTTTTCACAATCCCAAGCAGTAAGAATATTTTACAGGTGAATACATCAAGAGCAAATCCAGAATAGCTTCATTAGTTTACTTCCCAAACATAAACAGTATAGCGACTTTAAAAAAAATATGGCAACCCATAACACTATATGCAAGTAAACATTGATCAGCTGAAAGAGTCCACGCCACACACATTCTTACTCTTCACCTTTTCTAATATAGAATTCTTATAATTCAGTACATTTTATTATTGTAACCGGAAATATTATAATAACATTGAAATGAAATATATATATGTTAGATCGAATGCTAATCGTGTGTTAGATCGAATTTAACTATAACAAATTTAAATAAATACTTGTACAATATTTATTTTAAATAAAACTATACGAAATATTTTTTTTTAGTTTTAATTTCTTTATATGAATAGAGTTTGGATATTTGATAGGCTCATTTTTGTTCTCTTTTTCGTATTTCCTTCTCATCTGTTTTTTTTTTTATGCCAGTGAGAGTTTCTCAAATTAGAAGGCAAATGACATTATTTTTACATAGTTTAGTTTAGTTTTGTTCCCCTGTTTGCTTGTTAGTTTGAGTCAAATTGTGAAATTAAATTTTGGCCCTCGTTTACCGACCTGATATTCTGGAAATTTTTCACTTATACGTATTTTCAGTACAATACAATATTTTACAAGATATTTTTTAAATTTAATATGGATAGTTTTTTATATAATGCTGAATTTTTCTCACAAGTCGTCATAATAACCATCAAATTAACCATGCTGATAACATTGCTGATAATATATCACAGAAATTTGATTTTATGACTGATCTTAATTATGACTGAATTCCATCTTATCACAGAAAGACTGAAAACTGTCTAACAAATGAAAATTCTTCAGAGTTTCTAGCCCACAGTGGCTGAGTGGATAAGACCACCTAATAATGTCAGTTTGATCTGGGTTCAAATCATACATCCTACAACAGCATGAATAGTGTCATGGTTTCCCTGCTTGTAACAAGATTACAAGTCAGTTTCCTTCGTGTAGTCCTTGTGGGCTTTTCTTTAAGTAAAACCAAATAAG